GTAATTTTATTCGAATAATATTAAGAATGCGATTTAATTTTGAGGATTCTTTTTCTCAAAAACTGATTTATTTAAAATAATGAACGATAATCTTGATCAATATTTTCCTTTGTTTTGTATAACTTTTTTCCATTTTTCTAATAAAAGATGGATTTCACAGTAATAAAAAGATTCTTCGGAATTGATCCAATTTTGAACAAATTTTCACAAATCTTCGAAAGTGTGTATCCTTCAGAACATGTTGCATTGACCGCAACAAGTGAAAATCAGATGAAATAATGTCTGGAGAACACACGGTATGCGGTAAAACTTCCTATTTCAGCTCTAATAACATTTGCTTCATTGCAATACGAGATCGAGAATTGTCGTGAAGAAGGATCATTTTGCGTCGTTTACTTGCAACTGGAGATTGTTTTCAGTCTAATACTTGCTTCAATTTGTAAATAAATATTATTGTAAATAAATATAATAAATATTATTGATAGCGATCAGCGGTGATAATTTCTTTCTGATTAAAAAAAGTTCGTAGTATATAACACCTTTTTGGTTCCACTAAATACACACATACTTTTGAATGAATATTGCGCCTCGAAGTAAATCTTATTGGTTGGCTTGGATCAACCAGTTCAACAATGATTTTTTTCGTTATTATCGAAATAGATTTTTCATCCACAGTAACAATTTGATACAAAAAGCTTTTCTTTTTTTGTTTGAATTGAGCGAAAATTGAATGTTCACAATGTTCGTAATGACATTTTCTGACAATTGATGTGGAACCCATTTTCTTTTTTTATGAATCTTGCTCATCATTTAGATTAGTAAATACACGATCAACACATTTAATTTTCTTGCAAATTCTGAAGTGGATTGTATTGGATTTTCGTTCAATAATGCAAATCAATAATGCAAATTTTTGAGCTTTTTTGGTTGTCTTGAATCCTTGTGGTTAACAATGAAATGATAATTTTGAATCATCTGAATCAACATTCACATGTCTTAATTGATAGAGCAATATAAGTTATATTAGAATTCTATGATCTTCAGCTTCACGTTTTCTTTTGATTAAAAAATTAAAGCAATGTATCGAAAATGCTCTTTACAAAGCTTCATTTTTTTATAAATAGTATAAATTCGATGTTTTTGCGTCTATTATTAGTAAATTATTAAATATCATGAAGTAACAATAACATGAAGTAATAATAACAATAACAAGAAACAATAGTTGCGATTGGAATGTTTACGACAACACTGACATTAGATGCCATGGCTTCTACAAAACTTTCAAAGCTAAATCACACTTCTAATACATGATTGAATTCGAAAAAAAATAATCTCTAATTTTGTAGAAAATATTTGAAAAATTTGAAAAACTGTAGTGTGTGGCGGTACATTGTTAAACAAAAAAAATTTTTTTTTTCACAACTTTAAAGTACCTATTCTTAAATCGTATAACTTTTGTTAAAAAATTTTTTTCCATCTTTTATACTACCGACGATATTCATCTCGAAAGAGTTTTTCTTCTAAAGAGTGTTTCATCCCTTAAATATGAGTTAGCGCATGTATAAAAAATACATATCTTTTAAACTTGTGTTTAACAACATATTTCATGGAAAATCAAATCGATGCCAAACAGTTATGAAATATCCCTTGTAAGTTATTAGGATCTGTCATTATTATGTCGTTAACATACCGATAATAAAATGGAAGTTGCATATCAATGATCTCCAGTATTTTAGCTTCTAAATCCCTCTTAGTCAAATTCTCCACAATCGGGGAGAGAAGGGATCCTATAGGAATACCAAAACTTTGCTAATTAAAACTACCATCGAAGGAAAAATAGGTCGAATCAAGCTAATTGAACAGCGGATATAAATTCTTCATTGTGTTTACTACATTCATGAAAAAATTTTATGTATTTTCAATATTCTCAAATTAATAGGAATATTTGAATAAGGGAATAATGTTCTAACAAAATTAAAAAATTGTATCGTTTCGAACAATGTCCCTTTCAGTACTAATTGGAAACTGTTGTCTGTGCTACTAAACGATTTGGATATATTGTTTGAAATGATATGTAGAAAAGTTGACAAAAGATAGAAAATATTATCGATAAACGATATTACAATTATCCTTAATGGATAGTTCTGTTTATGAACTATATAATGTATTATGTATAATATACACTCTCGAAATTACTCTCATTAGTAGAATTTTTTAAATTGATGAATTGATAAAATTGTTATTCTTCCATCTTAGCAGCAATTCACGAACACCATTAGTTAATTTATTAATCGAATATTTCACCATTTTAGTATAAATTTCTTTGTAATCCAAGTTTTTTTCAATTAAGTTGAACTTTCAAAATAATCTTTTTTTTATATAAACAAAAATTAAAAATGTAAAGAAGGTATTCATTTTTGAGCAATTACAGAAAAATTTCAAATGTCATAATATTAAAAAAAAGTTTAAAAAATTTTTTATTATTTAAGTTTTTGAATAGCTTATGAATTGTAAATTAAACTGAGATATTTTATTGTGCATTTAATGTTTTAGTTTTATCTGAATACCGAAATATGTATTCTGATACATATTTTAATATAATACACGTTTGAAGATTTATTCAAGAATGATTATTTCTGACTTTATGGTTGTACTTTCGGGTTCACAAAAAGCTTCGTTTATATTAGCTTTGAATTAATTCTCGCTATTAACAGGGAGAGGTCATTATTTGTGCTATTTCAACCGAAAGTGATTGCTGATGTATGAAAGTACTATCAATAGACTTTAATAATTAGTATGTAACATTTGATCGGACGCAAAGAACACAATTTTTTATCGTATTAAAAATGTCGAGTTTCGTACCAAAAAAAGAGCATTTGCGGGAAGCATTTCTGTTTTAATCTTAAGAAATCTGCTGCTGAAAGCAATCATTTGCTAGTGGAAGCTTGGGGAAACATGCTCTATCTAAAACAACTTGCAGAGATTGGTTTAGAAGATTCCAAAACAACGATTTTGATGTAAATGACAAAGAACGATTTGGTCAGCCGAAATAGTTTGAAGATGGAGAATTGGAGGCATTACTTTAAGAAAATTCATATCAGACACTCAAAGAAACATGTCGGAAACATTAAATGTCGATAAATTAACCGTTAATAAATTTGCTTTAAAAGCAATTGGAATGATCCAGAAGTTAAGAAACTGGGTCCAACATGAATTGAGAGAAAGAGACATTACAAAACGTTTAGCCATTTGTGAATTGCTGTTTCGAAGACAAAAACGGAAGTCATTTTTGCATCGAATTGTGACTGGCAATAAAAAATGGATTCGTTATGACAATCCTAAGCGCAAGAATCATCACATCAAAACAGGATATTCATGGAAAGAAGGTGCTTTGATAGGATCAAGTCGATATAATGTATTATGAGCTGTTGCAACCGAGTCAAATTATCAATTGAACACTACCGACGTTAATTATTCAATTTGAATCGACCACTCAAAGAAAAACACCCACAATATGCCAAAAGACATAACAAAGTTATTCTTTTTTATGACAACGCTAGACTACATGTTGCAAAACAAGTGAAAGAAATTTTGAAGGCACTTGGATGAGATGTCTTACCCTATCCGCCCTATTCACCAGACATTGCTCCTTCATATTACCATTTGTTTTGGTCGATGCAGCATGATCTTTTTGAGCAGTACATCAGTTATTTCGAAGATATCAAAAAATTGCTCGATGATTGGATCGCTTCAAAAGAACTTGAATTTTTCTACCGCTGAATCTATTTGTTATCCGAAAAGTGAGAAAAGGTTGTAGGTCGAAAAAAATTTCGATGGACAATATTGTGATTAAAATATCAGGTATACCTTTTTGATAAAATAAACAGAGATTTTGTAGCAAAAACAGCGAGAATTAATTCAAGCATCTAATATTATATTAAAATTTATTATATATTTCTATTATATTAAAATTTAATTTAATGCTCAATATTTTTTGTTACTATTTCTTTGTTACGCTGAAGATAATCTAAATTGTGATTGAAACGTCTATAATTCTCAATTATTGCTAATAATACACTCAAGTTTTACTTCTTTATCATCCTGTGTCGATTTAAATTTTCTTACTTTTTTAATAAATAATTTATGTTTAGAACTAATTTTTCAAAAAAACCTTCTGTTTTTAATTATTTAAGTGTGCTTATTAGATGTAAGGCACTTCATATTTTTTCTAAATATACGAATAATTTACCATCTGCGCTATCACTGGTAAAGTGATATTCGCCACTCCCACATTTGAGGTAAACTCTGTCACAAGGCCTTCGAAGAAGCACACAACAGCAAGTATTATAATGGGTGGTAAAAAACGGAGTGGTACTAGAGCTTCACCGACTCGTCTTGCCATACTTGATGCTACACTTCCTCTTGAGATTGCGAAACCGCCACCCAACAGGAACATTAGACTCCATGGCATTTTACTCTCGATTACCTTCCACGTAATCAAACCTTCTGAAGATCTTTTTGGCCTTTTAGCAGCTGCGAATTTTGTAATTTTGAACATAATCATAGATGCAAATGCAAACAATATCCTAAGAAAAATTTGTGATTCCATTCTTTGATCTATATGCTATAGACAGTTTGCAGAGACAGTTTGTAGAAATATTTCGTTATAAGATTGCAACATTGTAAAAACGTTGTGAAGTTACAGATTGTTGCAGTATTGCTCATTGCAGTAGTGATAAAATATTCGCTTTTAAAAATATTGTAGTAAAAAATATTCCAGCTATATTATACGTTTTGATATTTCTGACAATTTTTAAATGCCATTTTATATTAAGACGTTTTGCCACTGTATAACTTTCGAGATTATCATACGTATACTTCTAGATTAATTTTTACATAAAAGAACTAAAGATTGTATTGTTAAAATACATCTCATTTACTTTTAACCTTTAATTTTGGCATTCTATTAAGGAATTTTGTTAGAATGTAAGAGAAAAATCTCATAGGTTGTGCTTTCTATTTTATCCTGTATAATTCCTTTATTTTCGAGAACTAGAATTCTCCCGAGTCTATTTAATAGTGACGTTGCGTATTATTCGCGGGTGAGCGATAGAACATTACTTTTCATAATATATTTGAGATTAATGCAACATTATTAAAGTAATATTGCAAAAAAATCTTTGCAAAGTCTCTGCAATTATTACAATGCAATACTCAGTTTCTATATTCTACGAGGAGATATATAAATAAAATGAAAATAAAAATTTTAATAAAGCTTTTACTTTTATTACACAAATTTTATTTTTGAGTTTATTTCATTAAAACAAATAATTTTCTATGTTAGTAATTATGACTTGATAATACTTAGAATTATTATTATCAGCGTTTTGAGGTTTTGAACAAAATTTTTATCATTCCTTACGATATTGACTAAAAGAATATATGAAGCTAGGATCCTTTGGGATGAAAAACATCAGGATGGCGACGAATATCACGGGCACTGAATCTCTAACATCTCTGTACATTTATTAATTTTTAGAATACTTGCATAGCACTCATGTACACATAATAATATATTTTATAATTTTAAAATATATGTACTAACATATCAGTAATCACTTCCGACCATCCAACGACGAAACCAGGTTTGCGAAATATCCAAAGAAATACGCACGTGAAGAATAAAGTGGCTATTGAAGTTTCATGAAAAGTTATAGGACCCAAATTCTTGTACCTCTGTTGTATAACCTAGAAAGATTATCATTCGTTAAAGAAGAATTCATTATTTTTGTTATTTTATTAATTCAGTATTTCGTTATTATACAAAAAATACACAAGCTTAATAGGCGTCATAATTTTTTTGTAATCGCTTATTATTTATGAATTATACGTTGAAATTTTTATTTTATAATACATTGATTTTATAATAACATTGATTAAACATATTTTTTCGTAAAACACATTCGATTAAAAAATATTATTTATTAAGTTGAAAAATGTGATAATATTTTAAAATTAATCAATAAGATATTTTCGATACAGCACAGAAACTTGCAGTAATATTGCAGAAATGTTGCAATATTGTAGATTGCGCTGTAATATCGTTGCAATATTGTAAATATTAGAAATTGTAATATATAATACATATTATGGCGCAAGATTTGAGAATCTTGCAGCATTATTACAGAAACATTTAAAAATATTTCGGCTTTTGAATAATGAACTGCTCACATGTGGGAACATGCTTCAATTGCATATTATATGATCGTTAATTATTTCCGTTAATTTATGGCTTCGACACACTGGACGTAGAAACGCTTGTCGCGCAATAAAATGCGCGGTACTAATGAACATGTTAGGAGCTGTAAATTTATTGCGTCGCATTTTACCGCGTAACAAGTGTTTTCATGTCCAGTGTGTGATAGCTATTAGGAATTATAGTGTTCGTTGAAACATTTGTTGCCGCCGCGCGACAAAATTTTTCAAATTTTATAATCAACTCTTATAATTTTTTGAAATATATGGATTAAAAAAATTTTTTGTACATAGCTAAGAAAACGAAATAGAATGGATAAAATGCATTATTTCCATTTCACTAGTGAAATCACTTAAGAATATGTACAAAATAAATATATCTACATAAAGTGTAAAATATATACAATAGCTGCAGTTGTGAATAGTTCATAGCGGCAGCTGATTTTGGCGGTTTCAGAGAGGTTAAACATCTGCTAATAATATTCAGTTTATATCGCTTTGAGTTTCATACAAAAACCTTGATTTTTACTGTGTTTGAAATATCGAATTTTGTGTTAACCAAGCAGCATTTGCTGGAGGTTTTGATTTTTTGCTTTAATTGGAAGAAAAGTGCGACTGAAGCCAATGCTTGTCGAAGTTTATGGTGACACTGCACCAACTGATTATTATGTAAGGAATGGTTTGGAGGATGGAAATTTCAGCGTTGAAGACAAGCCTCGCTCTGGACAGCCAAAAAAATTCGAAGACAAAGAATTAGAGGCATTACTCGAAGAAGATCAGAGTTAAACGCAAGAGGAGCTTGCAGAATCATTAAGGGTAACTCAACAAGCTTTCTACGATTGAGAGCCATAGGAATGATTCAAAAACAAGGAAATTGAGTGCCTTATGAACTGAAACCGAGAGACATTGAAAGGCGATTTTTCACTTGCGAACAGCTGATTCAAAGACAACAGAGAAAAGATTTTTTTGCATCGGATTGTGACTGGAGATGAAAAGTGGATATTCTATGACAACCTCAAGAAGAAAAAATACTACGCTAAACCCGGTCAATCGTTGCCATTGACCTCAACATCAACACAGCCGAACATTCATAGTTTGAAGGTCATGCTCTGTATCTGGTAGGACCAAAAGGGTCTTGTTTACTATGAGCTGCTGAAATCTGGCGATTCCATTATGGGCGATCGGTATCGGCTAAATTGATTCGTTTGAGCCGTGCATTGCGAGAAAAATGGCCGGAATACGAGCAAAGATAAAGTATAAAGAGCATGATAAAGTATTCTTTTTCATGACAACGTTCGGCCTCATGTAGCTAAAGTCGTAAAAAAATATTTGGAAATGCTCAAATGAAACGTTTTACCGCACCCGCCGTATTCTCCGGACATTGCTCTTTCTGATTATTGGTTGTTCCGAAGGATGCAGCAAGTCCCCGGTTCACTTCTTTCGCAGAAATCGAAAATTGGATCGCCTCCAAAGATGAGTCATTTTTTCGAGATGAAATTCGAAAATTGAGATGGGAAAAAGTAGTAGGCAGCGATAGACAATACTTTAATTGATCTGTTCATTCATTTTGTTTTGATATATATGCACAAAAAAACGGATCGAACTAATTTGTACTCCCAATAGTAGATTAACTAGCGAAGGAAATACGGGAGAAAAAAGAAGCGGTGTAAGGAACACCCGGCCTCAGATGAAAGTGGCGGGGATCCATTTGGAGGGTGCTGAGCGCAACCGAGAGTAACGCTCAGCGATGAGGGGGAGGATGCACTCAACATAGTTGTTGATCGCGAAGTGCAGTTAAGGGCTGGGATAGATTCTGAACGCGACCCTGCTAAGGCACTCTGAATCGAAAAAGGAGTTTCTATATTAGAGACTCGTTAGAAGTTATAGAGTCTATAACGTACTTATTAAATTACAATGGAATTAAATATAAGAGACTAGACAAAAACAAAATCAAAACAAGATCAAAACAAAAATAAAACGAAGGCAAAACAAAAACAAAACAAATTTTACAAATAATAATTCGCTTAGCAGAGCGTCACAATTTCTAAGTTCAATTTATTCTTCGGACTTAGCCGCGAGATACAATTTGAGCGCGAAAATATATGTCACTCGGTTTGTCGTCAAGTCTGGCGCCGAATATTTCTAAATCTTAGTGAATTTAAGCTACCTTTACAAAGTATCTATATTGGATACAATCTGATATGCTATACAACGAAAATGAGCAGTGCGTGGATCTTGCTGCTTTATATATGGATACAAGAGGAGCATCTTACAATAAGAGGGATGTTTGTGTATCATGCCGATTTTGTGATTTTCCTTATACTTTCCAACCAATATCAATTTTTGGTAGATCCGGATGCAGAAATTTATCGACGATGCATGGGTCTCCATGCACGATTTTATATTTGAGCGCCCATAGTTTTGTTCCATCTATTCATGCACCTGCGCATTGCAAATTTTTGCGCATGCGTCTCTGCGTATTCAATAGCGCGGAAAATCACTCAGCTGTTCTCGTAATTTCGCGATTGTTTTTCATTAATCGTTATGCATTTATTGTGACGCAAATTTTTTGTTTAAGAGTCCTGCTCTTGGATGATTAACCTTACAAGTTTTTAATGATGTTTTCGTATTAAATTATTAACAAGATTGTCTATAAAAACTGACCGTCTGTGCTGCCGTATGACTGATTAAAAATTGGATGGTTTATATAATTGGATAATGTATCCTGTGTTTATTATTTTAATATAAACGCAAAGAAATAATGTTTATTGTCCATGCGCTGAGCACATGAGCGTAGCGCTTAACTTCGTTTCAGCGCTGTCGGCGTTTCTATAATTACGGCTGGCATCTTATTTTGAGAAAATTAGAGCCGGACATTACAGTCTACAACAAAAAATTTAAAACACACACAAAGTGGCACCAAATTTTGGCACCACCCATCCTGAGCAGATAGAGCGGACTAAACTGAGTCGAAAAATTTTCTACCATTTTGCAGTTTGCACAATAGTTAATGAGATATTAATGTTCAAAGATAGCCGTCGAATACGCGTGTCCGCCCGATCTACTATCCGACTAGAAATTTATCCAAGGATTAGAATCAGATCCTAATCAGGTTGATCTTATTATATTCGTTATTAGGCCCTGATAAGATAAGTTCATCGAGGCTTGATCAGTAACGCACACAGTAGTCAAATCCTCATCCGGATAGCCTCATCAGATCTAATAAATTCCTTATCAGGATAAAGTTCTTATCAGATTTTCATCAGGACGAAATAAGGTCAATCTAGCTAGGATCTAAAATCACTGGATAAATTTCTAAGTTGGGAATTGTAAATGCTATTTAATTTAGTATCATATTCCAAAAGAAGCAAAAAACGTATATTTCAGAGATCCAGAAGGCACTCTAAAAGAATTTTATAATCTCTAAGAGATTATCCAAATTGAATTGCATTCGCCTTCATAAAGAACTGTAGACATTTTCTTCTTACGAGTAACCCGTCCATCTGGTGGCGTGATTGCGTACTAGAAACGAGATCAACCATACTCAAACCTAACGAGAATTTTCTTAAATATACTTTATTAGCATTATCTTAGGACCAAACTAAGTCTTTATAACATACAAACCATACAAAGATCAATTATACTGACGAGGATTTTCTTAGGTGTATCTTATTTAGGATTACCATACGTCAATCAAATCAGGTCCTGGTAACATATAAGGTTAACCTGACATAAATTCTACTGATATTGCCGGATGTATGTTCCACCGATCGCGCGGGCCGCGAAGAGTGGGGATGGCTTAGCAGGCGCGCCGTGCCGTTCAAGCTTAGAGGCTCGCGACGATGTACGGGGTGCTTGCCTCACTTTCCGCGCGCCAATATAGACGACAAATATTCGACGCATTAGAAATAATATCTCGATTGCAAAAAAGATAAAAAAATTCTTCGAAAACTCTGTTTAATTTTTAATTCGTTTTAAAATGTGCACATACAGAAAAATATAACATAAGTATTACATGTTTCAAGTAAATAATAAGAGTATTTTAAAATTATATTATCAAGAAATATTCTTTGTCATCATAATAATCATCATCATAATCGTTACTCAAAAGAAGAAGAATAAAAATTGCATTCTCTCTTAGCACTAGAATGATATTTCTCTGTATTTTTCTACACTACCGCTGGAAGTTCGGACACTCGCATAAATTTCATTGAATAATTGCATAAAAAATTATTGATAGTACAAATAAATTTCCGCCGTTTTTTATCAAAAATTAAGCATTTATTGTGAAAGAACGGTACATAATGTTTTATTCAAAGTAATCATCGCTAGTTATTTTTTCTTTCTAACATGTGGATACCGCGGAAGAACGCTTCATCTTTTGAGGTTATCCAATCATCGATACAATTTTTGATATTTTCATATGATGTGAAGTGCTGCTCAGACAGGCCATCCGTCATCGATCGGAACAAGTGGTAGTCGGAAGGAGCAAT